GTCCGAACTAAAAACACACTCGTCAAACATAATGAAAAGACTGAATTATTTATTTCCTCTAGGGACTCCTGTAACCATTCATTTTTAATAGAGTCTAATTAAGAGTTCCCCAACGGGTTTTACTTTTGTAAATATTTCAGACGCGCTCGGGTTTCCAGGCAAATCCTTCAGTACAAAAAACAAACCCGAGGCGCACACGTGGAACCCCCGTCCCTCCCCGTCGGCCGAGACAAACCAGCCGGGCGGAGGCAACAAGTGGCCGGTGGCTCGGAGAGCAGAAGCTTCGGTGACACAAGGACTCGTTCCCGGCCCCGCTTCTGCTCTTCTTTAGAAGAAAATCAACTCAAAGGTGCTTCCCCTCGTTCCCCCCTCAACCAAAATACACCACGGCGCGGCAGCCGCAGAAACCCGCCGAAAGCGATGGCAGCTCTCGGGGTGCTCGGCCGGGCGGCGGAACCGCGGATACTGCGGGGAGCCCCGGGAAGGAAGGAAGGAAGGAAGGAAGGAAGGAAAAGGAAGGAAGGAAAAAGGCCGCTGCCTCCGCTCCACGCTCCCCACCGCCGCAGAGGGACCGGCTGCGCGCCCTCCCCCGCACAAACCGCCCGGAGACTGCCGACGTGCCTGATATAAAATTTATTGATCTCTCTTCGTTTGGAAGAAGGAAGCAAACGAGGACTAGGGACTGGGAGAGGGGAAGGAGTATTTCGATGACTTCTTTTTTTTCTGGAAGAAATCCGGTAAACAAAACTAAAACGGTTCTTCATCTGATATGTCAAAACATGGTTCACAGTAAAATTCACAAACCAATTTACATAAGTTTACAGCTTAAGAAAAACCAAAGACATACAACTTACTATAAATAAAAGAAATGCGTTTGCGACCCGCACAGCTCTCTCCTACCTCCCCATTTTTTTAAGGAACAAAACCCTAAAGGTAAAAAGTCCTGAAAGCTACAGACTGTAAATAGAAACCAAGCAAGGCTCTGTAAGGTGGGAAGAACAAAACACTTAAGAAACCACAACGTTAATGTGAACAACTGAGTTTAAAAACGAAAGCCCGCCGGTTTCTTTCTCTCTTTTTTAATGTCATTGCAACGCTAGAAATCAAACTGGAAGATGCAAGATCTTTTAAAAACTTTTAAGCTAATAAAACAGTGCCCAACCTAGCAGAAACCAGGAAAAAAGTTGCCGTGGTTTAAAAACTTGACAGCAACTTTTAAGAGGCAGAAGTTGTGATCTATTAAAATAATAGCTTGCTCTTTTTTTGTGTGGGGGTGTACAAAATAAAAAGGACACAACTAACGGATTTCCTTTTTACATTTTCTCCAGAGTTAGTATTGAGTCTGCTAAGCCGAGCAACACTGCCGTACGTCCCGGTGTAGTCGGGGAGCGCTGGTGGGGTTAGGGATTAAGACGGGGAGGCGTCCGGAGCAGCCAAGTCTATATGTGAGTCAGTGGTACGGTACCGTTCACGCCAGTCCCGGCACTCTGGTAGTGCTGGTGGACGCTGTGTAACCTGCTGCTCTGCAGGGCGGAAGGGTCTGTGGTGTCCCCCCCCGGGGGCAGGTACATGCTGATCATATCCCGCAGGTCGCCCAGGCAGGCCCTCTGCGAGTGGGAAGTGATGGCAGGAGGCGGCGAGCTGGGCTCGGATTTCACCACCGAGCCCATGGAGCCCAGGCTCATGGCCGTGGAGGGCTGCTGGCCGTAGGCGGCGGGGGACATGCTGTAGGTGGAGGCGGCGTTCATGTAGGTCTGGGCCGTGGACATCATGGGGCTGTACTGCAGGCCCGTCATGTCGTAGCGGTGCATCTGCTGCAGCTGCGGGCTGCTCATGCCCGGGTGCTGGCTGTAGCCCAGCTGGTCTTGCATCAGCGAGTAAGCCCCGTTGGTCC